CGAACACTGGACTACCGAATCGGCGCGATGGTTACAGAAATTTCTCAGTGATTCCTTCAAGTCCCACCCAACGTGTCCAAATAGGTCTTCGCACCTTCTCGTCATTATTATAACCTTGCCTGTACTAGATGTTTTGAAAGGCCTTTTAAATACTTAAATGACAGTTTTTCCTACCCTTTCTTATACTTGAGCTCGTGACAATCTACCAGTTTTAATATAACTCCAGCCTGAAAAAGGGCCCCTTTTCCGTATAGTCCACTTTAGGGAGCACCATCTGGGCTCTGAGTACTTTCCCTGTTAATAAGGGAGGCGAGACTTAGGCTAATCTTTCGTCACTGAGAAAGAACAGATGTTCAGAATAACAATAAGACGCTTTAATGAGAAACATAACTGGGTCGTGAACGGGGGGCCGGGGAGATTACTTGGGTATGTACGTGCTCGGCTGGCCTCTGAGAACAATTACCCCGTTATAGTCTATTCTGTGACCAATTATAGAACCCATCTAATAGGGTGGCTGTTTAATGGGGGTTAATCTCATTTTCGTGATCCCAACTTGTTGAACTAATTCATCGTAAAATGAAGTGACACGATTGTTTAACTGAATGTGGAATGGTAACGACTTTTCACCATTAATCTTTCCATCTTCAAATCCCTACTTGTCAGAATTTTCTTATCCCCCAAATCCTCAAAAAATGCAACCTCCTGTAGTAACTCTATCGAAAATGCAACTGCATTACAGTCAATCCACTCGTGAAAATGCAACCCCATTCAGACAATCAATCCACTCATGAAAATGCGACCCCATCTAGTGGCACATCCCCATTAGCCGTAATAAACCTATTACTAGTAAGTAGGCCCCGGTGGTTCTCTTTGGAAAGCTGATAATTCAGGGAAATACGGCGAATAACAATTAACTTGGTGAGCAAATCGCATCACCTTCACTTGAAAGAGCTCACTAACGACTTGTCTGATTTTAGCACGACTTTGACTTTAACACTTGGAACCCAGCTTTTCAGCACATACCTGGATCATATACCGTAAAATATATCGAAAGTGACGATCTTCGTTACCTTCGAAATTAGCTGCATTTGGGGCTAGTTACTTTCGGGAGCTCGTTATTCTCGAGGGGTCGTTTCTTTCGCGGAGCAAAAAGCATTTTACATATATAGTTGGTGCGACTGAGCTATTTTTTATGAAATAATTGATGGAAATTAGAAGAGCATTTCTTAAATCCTGAATTGAAATTCTCCGTTCCAGTTTCAATTTATGTTGCTGCCACATGAGCGAGCTCCTCATGTCTATACCGCGTTGTCAGTGGTCGGCAGGAAAACAAGTCAGATGCCATCAACTGTTTCTACATCGTATGACACTGCTATGTCATTCTGCAGTATATCAAACCCCTATTTAGGCAGGTGACCGTTTAATTAATAGGGGTTGGTCGGTTAATGGGGTTAGTGTACTTTGAATATTTTTTACCATCGTGTTGGGTTAGACCTGGGTTAAATTCTTAATGAACTTGGAATCACGTCAAGACAAACAGGATAAACGTGACGGTTTTATCAGTAGTCAATCTAGTTTGGACTTTTATCGTCATCGCCTTTTGGACAACAAAGCTAAACTACGTGTATTTTACAATTTTGGGTAGCTGTTTAATGGGGGTAAAGACAATGATAGGAAAACCCTCGTCGGGATGACAAAAGGTGGCCGCGGTCGCTTTATAGAGACGGCTGGTTTCTAGCGGTTTTACTTGCAGTATGTTACTGACAATAATTTCGGGACTTTGATAACTGGCCGCTTAATAGGGTCGACTCCGGGGGTTAGACTGTATGCAAGAAAGAGATGATAATCCGATACAAGAGGGGGTCAAGGTTAGTACCTTGATCTTTCTCTTGCTGTGTATCAATGTCTCAGTGCATTGGTGGACTTTTCAATTTTAGTTTGAAAAAAGAAACGTTGTTATGAGTACGTTCTTAGGGAGTTTACGAAACCACGACGGCAACGGCAACGGGAACGTCACGAAACAAAAGAATTAATGAGCAGAACAATGGCTGTACACGTGCGTTATAATTCTTGGTACTTTTCTTTGCCGTCCTTTGCTAGACAACAACATGAAATGACCAAATTTTGCGTTGTCTGGAGAACGTGAACCAGGATGGCTGATATTTTAAATTTTTGTTTCAAATTTATCGCTGTGTTCCGGTTTTAGTTTTGGGATAGTTTTGACAGTGATAAAAAAGTAAATGACTTTAAAGTATCGCGAGATTCGTAGGTAAAATAGAAATCCATGTTTTAATCGACGTTGTCCTCGGCGTCGCCGTCGTGGTTTCGTAAACTCCCTAGTGCTAAGCGAAAGAGGGACTACTTGCAAGTTTAAGGTCACTACCGCTTATGACACAGAGCAATTCGTGATTCATCAGTTGCGCAGGGAAAACAAAACCTGTAGAATTTTCATCAAGTAACAAGAACGTACTCATAACAACGTTTCTTCAAACTAAAATTGAAAAGTCCACCAACGCACTGAGACATTGATACACAGCAAGAGAAAGATCAAGGTACTTACTTACCTTGATCCTCTCTTGCATCGGATTATTAGCTCTAGCTTACATACAGTCTAACCCCCGGAGTCGACCCTATTAAGCGGCCACCCCGTATTAAGCGGCCAGTTATCAAAGTCCCGAAATTATTGTCAGTAACATACTGCAAGTAAAACCGCTAGAAACTAGCCGCCTCTATAAAGCGACCGCGGCCACCTTTTGTCATCCCGGCGAGAGTTTTCCTATCATTGTCTTTACCCCCATTAAACAGCTACCCAAAATTTTAAAATACACGTAGTTTAGCTTTGTTGTCCAAAAGGCGATGACGATAAAAGTCCAAAATAGATTGACTACTGATAAAACCGTCACGTTTATCCTGTTTGTCTTGACGTGATTCCAAGTTCATTAAGAATTTAACCCAGGTCTAACCCAACCCGATGGTAAAAAATATTCAAAGTACACTAACCCCATTAACCGACCAACCCCTATTAATTAAATGGCCACCTGCCTAAATAGGGGTTTGATATACTGCAGAATGACATAGCAGTGTCATACGATGTAGAAACAGTTGATGGCATCTGACTTGTTTTCCTGCCGACCGCTGACAACACGGTATAGACATGAGGAGCTCGCTCATGTGGCAGCAACATAAATTGAAACTGGAACGGAGAATTTCAATTCAGGATTTAAGAAATGCTCTTCTAATTTCCATCAGTTATTTCATAAAAAATAGCTCAGTCGCACCAACTATATAT